TATAAATCTCCTGGTCTCAATTCAGCTCCTGGCCCCTCTTCTCAATATGGGAAAGAAGTTGGGCCAATCACTGGGGTCAGAGCTCATGCCTTCCCTGCTTCTCGGGGACTTGCTAATGGTCCTCTGCTCTAACCCTGCCTCCCCTCTACCACCCCAAGCGTCTAAACAAGTTTCTGCATTTTAAAAGATGTTTCTCGGAGTGCAGTTTTCCATAGTAAAATAATTGTTATCAGTTATTGAGGATTTACAATTTGTAGGGCACTCAGCTAACCCCTGAGGTACAGCATCAGCATTTTACAGAAAAGGCAAATTAATGTCCTAGAGGATAAGCAACTTGCCATCTAGGTAGCAAGAGGTGAGAGGGGATTGAAACCCAAGACAGGCACATTCACACTATGTCATGCAGCCTTCCAAAGGCAGGAGACGTGGCCCGTGGCCCTGTTGGGATGATGGGACCTATGGACAGAACTCGATGAGGACAGGTAAAGGATGGGCCACCTGCAGAGCCTCGGCCCCTGACCAGGCCCCTAGGACCCTCAGAAGAAGGGTCAATGATGGCTTCCAGGTCAGTAGCTGCCTCTCCTGGCATAAAAACCCCTCCGTGCACATCTGGAGCATAGACCCCAGAAAGTGAGGGACACTGAGCTCAGGGCTGGGCAGGAGGCAGTTAGAACTTTCTGGACGCCTCTCCTAGCAGGATGAGCCAAGACCACCAGGGAGGTGTTAATGAAACAGGGAAGCTGTGAACAGACCCAGGAGTGATTCCAATCTGACACCTCCACCCCAGCCCCCATCAGTAATGAGCTGGGACCTGCCCTTCTCCCCAGAGAGGGGTGAGGGAAGAAGTCCATCTCTGTAGATTCAGAAGCCCTGACCCCTCCCCCACCCATCACCATCATCATCATTCTTACTATTTGCACTGCAGTAAATAGCTCACATTTATTGAGCACCTACTAATTGTGTCCCAGGCACTATTGATCTTTTTTTTTATAATCCTATTATTAATCCTTACCTATAAACCTTAAACCTCTATGGTAAATAGTATTCTTATCTCCATTTTATGGATGAAGAAACTGAGGCTCCATCAGGTTAAGTGACTTGACTAAAGTAGAACAGACACTGGGACCCGGGACTGACTCAGAAGTCTGTGTTCTTTGTGGTTTGGGTAAAGCCCCTGACACACGCCCACACGGACCCCACACAGAAGACACATCTGTGTGGTTCCACAGCTGGAGCTGGGGTGGTGGGGAAAGGCAGCATGTCCACTGTGTGTCCTCCAAGTTCCAGAGCTAGAAAGAAGGATGGGCAGGGTCCCAGCCCTGCCACCAAGCCTGTCATCTCCCCGGGGCGGGGGACTCCAGTTCTGCCCACTTCCGGGAAAGCAAAGAGAGAAAGGTTTTGACTGGGGAGGGCTGAGGAAGAGGGCAGGGGCTGCTGGGCAGATGCGTGCCTCCCAGCTGCAGGAAGGAGCTGGGCCTCTCTGTGAGTGGAGCGCGCCATGTTTGTAAACATCATTAATCAGGGATTAGCAGATGGGCGTGCTAATTGCACCTGTGCAAGTGAGAGACCTCAAGGTTGATTACATTTACAAACTGTGGGGCTCCCTGGCGCCTGACCCTGCGGGAATGATGTGTGTGTGGGAGGGTCTAGTTTAGCCTTCTACCAAAAGATCCCAGCTCTGCAGGGGGCTCAAGGTGCTGGCCCCTCTTCAGCTGCTCTGAGGATACCAGAGGCTCTTCTCCTGGGGGTGGGGAAGCTATGGTGTATTTTGGCTGAAATGGGCCCCACCGCCTGGAAGAAAAGCACAGCTGCGCCCTGACCTCAGAGTCTGCATTTAGGTGTCCCAAGGAAAAGCTGCCAACCTCCTCCAGGCTTGGGGTGGAGGGCTTTCTGTAATGACCCCTTTGAATCCAGACCAATTTGAAGTGGATGCTGTTGTGATCTCCATTTTTGTAGATGATGAAAACAAAGGCTGGCAACTGAGGGGACTGTCCACATTTCCATGACTGCGAGTCAGAGCTGGAACTCCAACAAAGCCCTGTTTAACAGCCATGGCCCTGCTCTGAACCAGTGCTGTTCTCTCTGATTTTATCTCAGCCAACTTCTAGGTTCTGTGTGGGGCTTGGTCAAGAGAGCAGAGCGGACTTTGTACCCCACAGGGAGGGAGCACTGGGATACCTGTGTTCTTTTTTGTCACATGTATGGCAGGGTTCTGCAGAGAAACCAAGAGGGTGCATGTGTACCTGTGTTTAAAGAGATTATATGGAACTGGCTCATGCAATTATGGAGGAGGGCAGGTCCCAAGATCTGCAGGGTGAGTCAGCCAGCTGGAAACCCAAGAGGTCGATGGCATAGCTCCCATCCAAAGGTCAGTAGGCTGAAAAATCAGGAGGAGTTTTTCCCCCTGAGTCTGAAGACAGGAATTCTTTTGCCTGGGGAATGGTCAGCCTTTTGTTTTATTCAGGCTCTCAACTGACTAGATGTGGTCCACCACATTAGGGAGGGTAGTCTGCTTTACACTGCTGATTCAAATCTTAATTTCTTCCACAAACACCCTCAGAGAAACACCCAGAATAATGTTTGACCCAAACCTGGGTAACCCATGCTCCAGTCAAATTGACACAAAATCAACCATCACATTAGAGTTTGTACTAATGTGTTAGTCCTGGGTTAGTCCTGGGGTGCCCAGTCCTTTAGCTTACAGATCATCTTTGTCCCCCCTGGTGCTGGGATCAAACCCAGGGCCTAGCACACTCTAGTCAAGCGCTCTACACCCCAGAACAACAGGACATTTTTACTGATAACTTTTATTTCTAACTTCCCTACCAGGAAAGGGGTAGACAGAGCTGGTCGGAATGGCACCATCCCTAATCTACAGATGAGGAGTCTGGGAAGCTAAGTAGTATGTCATGGAGCCGAGACCGGAAAGCACATCTTCCAAAGACCCTAAGGGACAGATGAGACATCATCCTGGCCCAAACTTTCAAGCATGAGCTCAAAGACACAGGCGTGAACATGGAGCATTGCTTGGTCATGAAGCATGGAGCAAAGCGCAAGGGAGTCTCAGACCCCAGTGGTACACTATCAACTGGGGAGCTTTAAGAAATACTGAAACCTGGTTCCTTCCCAGAGATCGTTTCTTAGGGGCTGGTCCTTCTGGGTATTTAGAATACTAAGAGTTCTCTCTCTCTCTGGCCCCATGGCTGCAAGGTTCCACCAAAGTTAAAAATTTTTAAATTAAATAAGTAAAAATAGTAACTTAAAAAGTTAAAAATCACTACACCTGGCTCTTGGTCAAGGGCGCAGGGGTGGCAGAGGCATCCTAGTATCTGCTGCGCTCAAGCTCAGCAGAGTTCAGAACCTGTATGGCAGTTAGGATCAGAAAGTTCCAGAGGGGACAGATGCTAGTAGGGAAGAGTCGAGCTTATGAAGGGGCTTTGTCCTCTTTCTTGAGATAAAAAACTATGGGCTGGGGATGTGGCTCAAGCAGTGACATGCTAGCCTGGCATACACAGGGCACTGGGTTCAATCCTCAGCACCCCATAAAGATGTTGTGTCCACTGAAAAAAAATATTAAAAAAAAATTCTCTCTCTCAAAAAAAATTTTAAAGAGTGAGAGAGGAGAGAGAGAGAGAGAATTTTTTAATATTTATTTTTTAGTTTTCGGCGGACACAACATCTTTGTTTGCATGTGGTGCTGAGGATCAAACCCGGGCCGCACGCATGCCAGGTGAGCGCGCTACCGCTTGAGCCACATCCCCAGCCCTATTTTTTTTTAAAATATTTTATTTTTTAGTTATAGTTGGACACAACACCTTTATTTATTTATTTATTTATGTTTATGTGGTGCTGAGGATCGAACCCAGGACCTCACACGTGCTAGGTGAGTGCTCTACCGCTGAGCCACAACCCCAGCCCCTCTTAAAAAAAATAAAAAAATAAAAACTATGACTTTAAAATGATCTTGGGAACTTTTTAAGGAAATTCAAATCTTGTTCTAAATTGGCAATGCCCTCACAATTGCAAGCTAAATCCACAGCAGATGGGAGTCCAGAAGAAAAAGATGGAACTATTTATCGAGCATCTACTACGTATGAGATACTGAATTCCTGTTGCTCTCCATATCCCCTCAGGAATCCAGCAAGTAGTATTATTCCCATCATGGAGGAGTTGACTATTGCTCAGGTGTGTAGGGAACTTGCCTCAAGTCACAGTGACCAGGATTACAACTTAGGGATTGCTGCTCTGCCAGCCCGTGCTCCAGTGCAGTGGTTCTCAACCAGGGATGACTTGGAGATGTTGAAACAGGTCCGTTTTCATAACAGGGGACAGGAGGGCAGTGCTACTGGAGGGCAGTGCTACTGGTGTCTAGTGCCTAGAAGCCAGGAATGTTGCTAAACGTCCTATAATGCTCGGGACAGTTCTCACAGCAAAGAAGTAATTATCTGGTCCCAAGTGGCAGTAGTGCCAAGGTTGAGAGGCACTGCTCTGGTGGCCCTTAGCCATGGCTGCAGGTTAGACCCATCTGGGGGGGGGGGGGAGGACAGTTTAGAAAGCCTGATGATCAGGATGTGCCTAGACCCCTGCACGGGCACTCTGGCAGCAGTGTTGGGCTTGTTTCTTTCTTTCTTTTTAAAGAATCTAACCATTATTTATCTGTTGTTTGTTTTTATGTGGTGCTGAGAAGCGTGTTCTGCATTACTTAGGCTGTGACTTCTGCACCACTTGTGGGGCCTTGGTGAAGGCACACCAAATCCGTCCGGCTTGCACAATAAATAGCAATCCGTCCCCACCACCCCACACTCAGGGCAGGGGCGTTGCTTCTATGAGTGGTGTGTATGTGTATGGGGGAGGGGGTGTCACTGCTAATTTTTTGATTCTAATGGGACTGAGTCTCTCCAGGTGGCTGCAAAAGCTTTCCAGAACTGTGGAGCAAAGAGCAAGGCTGCCACCTAATGGACGAATTGGGACAGATCAGCCCATTCATGGAGTGCCTAATGGATGATAGCAGATGATGTTTTATTTGCTCCTCACAACAACCCTGTGAGGTAGGTAGGTGCAGACCAAGGTCCTGGGCACCACAAGATGAAGACATGTACTTAAGGCCCACACGGGGACAGTCCTTGATTTGTACTTTGTCTATCCCACAGGAAGACCTCGGCCCCCCTCCACATCCTCACACTCAGCATTTGCCACAGGCAACACCTGGTCAGGAGCAGTCGGACCCCTGGACTGGGCTGCCTGATTCCCTCTGAAGCCTCAACTTCCACTCGACTTCTGCCGTAGCCCATCCTGGAAATCACCAAACTACATCTTCACTGAAGGTCCACAGCAAAATAGGAGACTGAACTCCTCCGGTCTTTACTGCAGAGTCCCCAGCCATACAGTTAATGACTGACATCAAGGAACAGGGGCCAGCAGGCCAGACCTGGGGATGTGTGTGCAACTGTCCCGGCACCATCACGTGCACTTCGTGGACAGCCCCCTAAGTCCCCATTTGCCTCTCTTTTTCTGATTCTGAAGACGATTCTGGGTGCTGAGTGACTCAGAGTCCTTTGGACATAGCTGGTGGTTCTTGTGGGTCTTGGAGGGGCTTCTCTGTCTTCTCCACTGCACGGAAACCTTTCCTCTGGCTGCAAATGGAGTGAAGAAGAATTCCTGCACCGACAGACGAGGGAAAGAGACTGAGGAGAAGAAGGAATATGTACAGGGAGCCTTGACCCATGCCAGGCTCTCCCTCACTTCATCCCTAAAGGAAGTATTCTCCCCATTTTGCACATGAAGCAACTGACACGGAAGGACCAGGTAGCTTGTTTAGAATCCAGTCAGAAAATGGGATGGGAGAAAAGCAGCACTTGTGTGGGTAGAGGCCATCAGGAAAGGGAAGAAGCTGACTCACCTGCAGCCACGGACACATTCAAGGACTCGAGTCCGGGAGGCAGCTGGCGTCCTGGCAGAATGGTAAGGAGGAGCCGACAGGAGGCCTGCACCTCCTGGGACAGACCGGAACCCTCGTTCCCTGCGGGGCACAGGGCAGAGGGTTAGGCAACCCAGCTAGACACCAAGTGCTCAGGAAACATGCATCGGAGCAAGAAGAGCAGGGACATCTACCTACCCAGCACAAGGAGAGTAGGCTGGTCCCAGAGGAACTCTAAGCAACTCATGATGGGGGTTTGGGAAGACTGGGAAACCTCAGGCCCCGGGCAGCCCACGGTGCCTGCCACAAGCCAGCCTTGCCGGGCTTTGGCCTGAAAGAGAAAACACTATGTTTTAGCTCACAAATCTTCATCAGAGCCCTGGGGAAATGGAGCCCAGTCTTCACCACATGCTTAAAGATACATTCATTTCTGTCAAGTTATTAAACACCTCGATCTGTTCAGGCTATTGTAGGCACCGAGAATGAGGCTGTGAACAAAAGAAACAACAGAATCCCGGCCTGTGGAAGGCCTTGTTGAAATGACACGTGAGTGTAGACCTGGAGAGGATGAGGGGCGCCACGTGGACATCTGGGGGAAGAATGCTCCGAGCATTCTACAAATGCAAAGGCCCAGAGGCCTTGCTTACCTGCACATGTGAGGAACAGTAAGGAGGCCACAGAACAAGGGTCACGTAAGGAAAGACCTTGAAAGCCACTGAAAGGACTTGGGCTTTTACTCTGAGATGCAAAGACTTTGAAAGGTTTGGATAGAAAAGTAATATGGTCTGACTTACATTTCAACAGAATCACTCTGCCTGCCATGCTGAGAGTCAGAACAGACGGAAGACCAGTGAGGCTTCTGCAACGAGTCAAGAGACAATGGTGCAGCCGGCAGTGGTGGAGGCTTGGGAGGCTGAGGCAGGAGGATCACGAGTTCAAAGCCAGACTCAGCTATAGTGAGGCACTAAGCAACTCAGTGAGACCCTGTCTCTAAATAACATACAAAATGGAATTGGGGATGTGGCTCAATGGCTGAGTGCCCGAGTACAATCCCTGGTACAAAAAAGAGAGAGAGAGACAATCGTGGTCTGGACTATGGTAGCAATGGAGAGTTTGAGCAGTGAAACTCTCACTGGCAATAACTCCAAGATAAAGCCAAAAGGATTTGGCCATAGGTGGAATGGGGGCATGGTATGAAAGCAGGAAGTCAAGGATGGCACCATGGTCTCTAGCCAAAGGGATGGAGTTGCCACAGTTGGACTGGGTAAGCTTCAGAAGGAAAGATGCTCAGCTTTGAACATGTTGTTTGAAATGCCCGCCAGGAATAAAAAAAGAGCTTCAGAGACAGGTAGATGAGTGAATCTGGAATTCAGTGGTGAGAGCTGGGCTAGGGTACACATCTAGGAGGCATGTGAATATAGATGGTATTTAAAGCCATGAGACAAGATGAGATCAACAAAGTGAATATTCAGAAAAGAGATCCAAGGACTGAGATCTGGGAAAATTTAATGTTTGGGCACGAGGGAGTTGAGAAGGAATCACCAAAGTCAACTTCGAGAAAGAGCACAGCAGCCAAATGCAGTGGTGCACACCTGTAATCTCAGCAGCTGGGGAGGCTGAGGAAGAAGGACAGAAAGGTCAAAGCCAGCCTCAGCAACTTAGAGAGGCCCTAAGCAACCCAGTGAGACCCTGTCTTTAATAAAATATAAAAAAGGGCTGGGGATGTGGCTCAGTGGGTAATCACCCCTGGGTTCAACCCCCAGTACCAAAAAAAAAAAAAAAAAAAGGAAGAAAGAACACAGTGATGGGGCTGGGGTTGTAGCTCAATGGTAAAGCACTTACCTGGCATGTGTGAGGCACTGGGTTTGATTCTCAGTACCACGTATAAATACATAAGTAAATAAATTATAAAGATCCATTGACAACTAATAACAAATTAAAAAGAAACAAAGAACAGAGAGTAGGAGGAAAATGAAATAGAGAGTGGGTTTGGTGGTACGGCTCAATGGTACAGCACCTGCCTCACATGGTGAAGCGCTAGGTTCAGTCCTCAGCACCACTGAACATTTTAAAAGCCTAGGTGAATAAGGGGAGGAACATCACAGGGAGGAAAGAGTGGTCATCTGTGCCAGATGTTGCAGATGGCTCATGTCAGATAAGGACTGAAACAGACCCTTGACTATAGCAACATGGAGGATACCGGTGACCTTGTCAAAGGCTTCAATTCAGCATGGGATTGAGGTCAGGAGAGAATGAGAACATCTGTGAATGTGACGAGAATGAAAGTGAGAAAATGGAGAAAAAAGAACTTGCTGGAGCAGTGTCTTTTAAGTGGGAAGGAAGGCCCGGGGCCCAGCATGGCCTTTGCTTGAGGCACCTCCAGTTCTTCCATGGTGACAGAAGGCAAGACAGCCCTATGGGCCAAGCTGCTGGTGGGAGGAGGCAGATGTCCTGAATGGAGCTTAGGGAATCAGAGTGTTTGTGTTTTTTCAAGAGCTACTTGTTAAGAGGCTGGGAGTGAGGAAGGGAAACTTCATCTCCTACTAGGCTTGGCCAGAGTTCCTCTGAAGGGGGCTCCCTATAAGAAGGAATAGTCAGAAAACACTTCTGGGGATGTGCTGTTCAATGTAGTAGCCACGAGCCACATGTGACTACTAGGCAATGGAAATATGACTACTCCAGGTAGATTTGTGCTGTATGTGAAAAGTGTTAAATGAGATGTAAAATATTAATATTTAAAATGATAATATTTTGGATATAATAGGGCAAGTTACTAAAATTAATTTCACCTGTTTCACTTTTCAACGTGGCTAGTAGAAAATCTGAAGTTACTACGTGGCTGGCATTGTGTTTTTATTGTGCAACTTTGTTTCAAGAGGGAATTTCTCACAGGACGACCGTCAGAGGGGCTGCCAAATGCAGTGCAATACTGCCCTCTTGTGGCCAGCAGGGGGGAACTACTGAAAACGGACGGATAGAGGGACCACAGAAGTTCCTCCCTCAAGTTTACCCCTTCCTAGAAATCAAAGGCATACAGGTCCCCTTGTTCAATGATCCTTTCAAGCTGTGCCCCTACTCAAGGACCACAAATCTCCTGTTCCCCAGCTCCCCCGGGCTAAACAACAAGCATCGCTTAAGACCTACATAGCAATGAGACACTGAAGTACCCTTAAAGCAGGAAAGAGGACTTCTGGGGAAGCGTGCTGGAGATCGAACCCGGGGCCTTGTGCTTGCTAAGCAAGTGCTCGACCACTGGGCCACATCCCTAACCCAGGAGTGCAGCAAAGGGAATGATGCCAGAGAGCCCCTAACTTCAGAACTTTTCTTTTGTGGTTTTGAAAACTCCAGGACCCTTCCCTTCCCAATGGGATTTAGGAAGGCCATAGGAATCAATGCGCACACGCACCCTTCTCTCTCCTTCCACCATTCACTGCTTAAAAACGCTGGCTGAGCTAAGCTCATTTGTTTCTTTCCCCTTCCTTCCCCCTCTCCATTTACCTGTAAAAAACCTGCCAGGTCGTCAGTAGAGAACACATCCATCACCTCCATAGCCCCCGCACTGGCCTTGCTGACTACTGGAGTGAGCGGGCAGCTGTAAAGATTCCCGGCCCCAGCATTAGGTTGGTCAATTTCAAACCTGGTGCCCCACCCATCCCCGGGCTCCCAAGGGCTAGGGGTGCAAGTTCTGGCAAAGGGGAGGAACCACCCAAAGGCCAAGGTGCTTAGGAACTCGACTGCACCTCCAAGTTGGGTACATGGGGAATAAGGAGTGCCCGTGCCTGTTTCTCTGGCTAATAATGACTTTGTCCACTCCGAGGAAGTGAGCGGAGCGCAGGACAGCACCAAGATTCCGGGGATCCTGGAGCCCCTCAAGGACGAGGCACAGTTGCTGGTGGTCGTCGCCTGGGCTTACTTCCTCGGCTTCCCTGCAAGCCCCGGGCCGCAGCGGGCTCACCTCCATGCAGACGCCCTGGTGCACCTGGTGGCGGCACAGGGCGTCCAGTTTCTGCCGCCTGGGCCGCAGAACTGGGATGTCCCGCGCCTCCGCTTCCCGGAGCAGCTCGGCCCGCTCTCCCTGTAGTCCAGCCCTGCCGGCTTGGAGCAGGAGCCGGGCCACTCGGCGGCGGGCGGCTCGCAGAGCCAAGAGACACGGGGACAAGCCAAACAGCAGCTCTAGCCGCGGGGTCGGCGCCAAGTCATCCAGCCTCAGGCGGCTTAGCTCCTCCCCGCCAGGCCTCACCCCACGGGAGAAATGACGGGCCACCAGACGACCAGAGCAGTAACCGGTAGCGACCGTGAGGGTCGAGAGCAGCCCCATTGTGCGGGCCGTGCCCGGAAGCCCCCAGCTGCGTCCTGGCGAGGAGTCACCGCCACGTGCAGGTGAAGAGGACCCAATGGCTGCTCTCAGGGACGAACAGACCCCACTACCAGCTCGAGGACTCTCCCCCCCCCCCGTTTCCACGTGGGTCCTGCGCTTCCGGGTTCCGGTAGCCCCACCCCCTGCCCCGCGACGCACTGCGCATACCGGATCGCCAGGACGTGCCCACAGCGCTCTCTGCAGGGCTGGATGAGCCGAGAGCGCTACCCACAGCGGAGGGCTGGCGGACCCGCAGTGAGGCTGAGCCGGCGCGGGGGGTCGGCGCGTTAGGCCACACACCAGCAAATGAGAATTCACGGAACGGGTTGGCCTTCCTCCTGTTCAACCAAGTCAGTCTTGATGCCTCTCTCCCCACATCCAGGCGCTTCCCATTTGGGGACTTTTCCCAGAGGCTTCTCCTTGTCAGACCTCATCACCAATTAATAGGACCCCAACCATACTTCTCAAACCTTGGCCGCTCATTCTCTTCCCAAGTCATATCTCGGCCTCTCATGTCCCTGATGACTAGCCCAACTGATGCCCTTGACCTACAGGTAATGGCTGGACTCCTTTGCTCAAAGCTCAGATACCTAGTGATCCAGGACACACCTCTTCTCTCTCTCACACACACACACAAGCACGCACGCACGCACGCGCACACACACAGGGTCTTTTTTTTCCCTTCTCATTTATTTTAGTCTTGCCGTGTTGCCCCGGCTAGCCTCGAACTCATCTCCTCCTGCCTCAACCTTCCATATATTCATTCAGTCCCATCTTGCTCCTACACTGTTTTTTGATACCAGGGATTGAACCCAGGGGAGCTTTACCACTGAGCCACATCCTCAGCCCCTTTTATTTTTTGAGACAGGGGTCTCATTGAGTTGCTCTGGGCCTTGCAAAATTGCTGAGGCTGGCCACCAATTTGCCATCTTCTGCCTCAGTCTCTGGACTTGCTGAGATCCCACTACATCCGTCCTGTTCTTAGTTTTTAGCGTGCTATTCACACAGCACTGCACACCCTGTTTGTCTTCTTTTTGTCTTTAGCAAACTCCTCTCCATTTTTAAAACCCAACCCAAACTTCTCCTGCTCCCTAAGGTAATCTACAGTCCAGAAGTGATGCCCCACATCCACCCATGTGAAAGAAATTCTGAGACACAAACCATTTGGATCACAGAGAAGGAAGAATTGAAAGACATTCCTGAAGCTCAGGTTGGTTGTGATTTTTCTTCTTTAATTATCACAGTGAAATCTACTGGGAGCCAGGCCCTGGGATTCTGCTCCTATAGTCAGAGTGGAGGGATGGTCCCACTCGAAGCACAGAAACCTAGATTGGGCTGGAGAGCTGGAAAGGGGAAGGGAACGGGAAGGGAAGGGGAAGCAGTGGGGCAGGGAGAGAAGGAAAGCTGGAGCCCTGGGTAACCATTCAAATGTAAGGTGAGGGCCTCTCTCTGCCACTCCAACCTTGAAGGACAGAGGTTGGGATGCAAGAAGATGGGGAGCTCCCCTTTTGGCCATATCCCCTTTGCCAGTTCAAAGGGAAGCCTGAGGAGAGCAAAGGTGAAGGAGACCAAGGAGGAAACTCACAGCGTGTTAACAGGAAAAGCAATGAGGGCCCCCACCTTCTCTCCTCAGCCCATTTTTCACATTTGCAGTGGAAATGATTTGACAAGATATTAAAACTTCAAACAAAATTTCTAGCCCTTGGGGTAGAGACAGAAAGTAGGATCCAGGGGTTCAGAAATCAACACCTAAAATCCAGAGGCAGGAGCCAAGCCATCAGGAGTAGGGAGGGAAGGAAGAGCTCCCACAGGACACTAGACCACCTGCTCTGTGGGCCTCATCTGGATGTCTCCAATCTGTGGAAGGCACAAGGCTTGAGGCAGCCAGGACACTCCCCACCCCTTAAAGCCTCCCTGCTCCCCTCCTGTGGGGATGGTTGGGCTCTTCCAGGGGGTGGACAGTCAAAGCCAAACTCACCTGGACATGTGGGGGGCTGCTGAGGACATAGATGACAGCCTCAGCCACATCCTCAGGTTTGAGACACTGAGAGTACCAGGGGAAAGGTTGAGACAAGGAGAGAACGGACCCAAGTTCTTTCCCACCACTGAGGTCCTCTCCAGTGTCCACGTTCCCACCCCAACCCTCCAGGAGGGGTGACAAACTGGACTGAAGGGTGGAGACTGAGGCCAGGGTTCCCTGTCTTAACTTGGGGATTGGGTGCCTTTACCAGACCCAGAGGGAAGCCCACCTTCATGACTTCATAGGTAGCAGCTGCTTTTTCAGGGTCCTTGTCATGGAGTCTGAAGGCAAACTGGGTCTCCACCACACCTGGAGAAATGCACTGGGCCAACAGAAGGGCCTAATCAGGGGGTGAGCTTTTCAAAGCCTTGGGGAGGTTGGGAGGAAAGGATGGAGGTCACAGGGCCCCAACTTCCATGGTGATGGCAGCCCAGTGTCCAGCAAACACACCCTCCCTCCAAAGGTGCCACCGTCAAAGATCACATGTTCCCTACCATGAACAGAGCCCTTCCTATATCTCAGCTAAATGACTGACAAAATGGCATTTCTTAAAGGCTCCTAAACATTAGGTGGAAAGAGGGAAGGAGAAAGAGGAGTGAAACTCCACATTTTACAAATAAGACTGAAGCTTGGAGAGATCCAGTGACTTGCCCAAGATAATGTAGCCTTCAAGGAAAAAGCCTAGAGTTGTGGCATCCAGCCATTGTGTACCTGGTTTCCCACAATCCCTGGCTTTCCCCTAGTTTCACTCAACCATGTTCTCCTCAAATCAGCCCTCTACGTCTTCAGTCTAAATCTGGTCACTGGTGAAATGAGGAATCTCAAGAGCTGAGCAAGGCCATGCAAGGAGCAACAGAGCCCAGGGGTTCTGTACCCAGTCCACTCCCACAGACTCAAAACACCCACCCTGACCATGAGCTTCTGGGCAGCATGTGACAGGAGGGCCTCTGCCCACCTCATCCCCACCAAGCCTAGGCCACAGCCTCACCGTGGCTCGAATGTGGGTCTGGGCCTCCCGAAGCTCTTGCCTCAATCCCTCAGTCAGCGCAGTGACGGTGTATTTGGTTGCACTATAGAAATGGGTCGCAGAGTTGGGTGGGACTCGGTGACCAGACATGCTGGGTGGAAAGAGGGAAGGAGAAAGAGGAGTGAAACTCCACAGAAACAGGCAGTGAATGCCCTCTGCCATCCTGGTCAACCCCATACCCAGAGGCCAATGGGAAAACATCTAAAGTGGAATTCTGTGGTCACCCCTACAGCCCACTGAATCTAACTTTTTTTTTGGCAGGGGGTACTAGGGATTGAACCCAGGGGCACTTGGCCACTGAGCCATATCCCCAGCCCTTCTTTGTATTTTATTTAGAGACAAGGTCTCACTGAGTTGCTTAGCATCTTGCCGTTGCTGAGGCTGGCTTTGAACTTGCAATCCTCCTGCCTCAGCCTCCGGAGCCTCTGGGATTACAGGTGTGTGCCACCATGCTTGGATGAATCCTGGAATATCTCCAGAAGCAGGAATAGGCCATGTCATCATGGGGTTTCCCCAAAGGTTGAGCCTATGTAGTTTTTCTCTGTGCCACCTGTATAGGATATTCATCCTAGGACCTAAAGACAGGATGTGTGCAGTCCCAGGAGAGTTCCGGGGTTTGGCTGCAGAGGGAAGGAGCTAGATTGCCCATTCTGGCCAAGCAGGGACTAGCAGTTTCTCTCATTGGAATTGTACCTTCTGGATATTTTCCCACCAAGGAAACTGAAGTCCAAAGAGGTCAAGTGAGCAGCAGCAGATCACCCACCCTGGAGGGCAAGTGATGACTTGAGTTTTCCGTGTAGGCCACCAGCCCTCACCTGTTGATGTTAATGATGTGCCCGTCATCCACATTCCGCTCCTTCATGGACTGGTAGGCTTCCCGTGTGCAGATGCTGAGAGCCAGCACGTTTACCTGTAAGCCAGGGAGGGCAGTGGGGTATCTCCAGCTTGGGCCTGACAAAGCAGGTGACTGAACCAGAGGCCAGTAGCAGGCCAAGGGCACCCTGTCTTCTCCATAGGTTCCCCTCCACTAAAAGCTGCCCCCCACCAGACGATGGCAGAGGTAGCTCCTCTTGGTTGGCCTCACCACTCGCAAATGTAAATCCCTCAAACCCATCCAGACCTGGGAGACCATTTTGGTTATCCCTGCTGTACGAGAAAGACCCTGCCTTAATAATCATTTCCTTTTCTTTCCCCAAATAGCCAACCTTCTCAGGGACAGTGTCCCTGTCCCTGCTCCTTCCCCAACCAACTGAAAACCTTCCTAAAATGTCTTTAAAATCTCTTTCTCCAAGAAGGCACCCCAGCCTTTCCTGCCATCCACAGCCATCTTCCTCCCTTGAGACCACGAGTGTCAAGGAGAGGCTCGCCTTTTATACCTGTCTTTAACCTGGGTCCCATCCCAGAGCCCAGGTGCAGAGACTCTTCAGAGGGTGGGGTCACTGCCACTCCTGCTCTCTATGGCAGAGGTGACCCCAAGTCCCGACTTTCATGGAGCAGAGGTCTAAAGCAGTGTCTGCTGTAGAGCGCCTGCCTGACTCCACCCTTTAGCTTCACCCCCAGGACAAGCAGAGTTTTCAGCAATTCCTCACACCTCCCCTCTTGCACAGAAAGGGAACAGCTGACAGATTTCTTTATCAGGTGTCTGAGTCAAAAATCAGGACAGACCACCTTTAGTGTGGACCCACCTCGGTGCTTAGGGCAGCAGCAGGAGCTGGAAGCAGGAAAAGCAGCCTTGTTTCTGCCCTTCTTATAAGTGTGGGATTGTGGTTTAGATGGAAAAGGAAAAATGGATTCCCTGGGACCATGTGAGGAAATCTCCCAGGTCTTTGGGTTTTGGGGTGGGAGAGAGAAGATGCTTTCTAGGATGATCCTAGTAAACTTAGGCAATCTTCAAGTTGAAAGGGACCTTTGGGACTTAATAAGTCCCTTCTTTAACAGATGGGCAAGTTGAGGTCAAGGTTTAGAGACCCACTTGCTGTAGGTAAGAGCCATGACCATGATCTCCCGGAAGACTCTGAGAACAGGGCTTCATTTTTATTGTTCATTCCTTCATTT